ATATACCTTTCCTTGTACCCATGGCTTAAGAGCTTTCATGATATTATTGCATCATGTGAGCTAGATTATTTATACTTAATTTAATATATAATATAATAAAACTTTTGAATCATATTATTAAAAAATATATAAGACTGGTTCACGGTTGAACCGGTCGAACCGGCCGGTCCGGTCCGGTTTTCAAAACAATGCTTTTAATAGAGAATTTTTATTTGGAGTGACATTATTTTTTTTAGTATATTTGCTTTGATGTTTAACTTCGATGGGTGGGGCGTTTAACCATTAAAGTTCGCTATTATGTTGATTAAAACTCTTAGTACTTTTTTAAAGGAAGAGATAGTTTAATAAATAAGAAAAATATGGATAGTATTTAACTTAGGGCAATTAATTTGGTTTTAGCGTAGTTTTTTTTTTTTTTTTTTTTTTTTTAAGTTAAAATTCTGGCGCTAATATTAAGGTATTCTTTGTGAATCTTGATACCTTCAAAATGGGAAACTTTCGAGTTTAAATTTGGATTTACTTGAATTTTAATTTCAACAAATTTATAGTAAGATTAAATATGTCGACAAGATAAATCCAACGACATAAAAATTGGTTCATCAACTTCCAAATGGCCCTAAATCAAAGGTTTAAAGAATATTTAAAAGCTTCAAGATGCTAATTGGATGATGAAATGATATTTAAATACGACATATTATAGTTGAATTGAGCAGCTCGATGAGATGAATCAACAAGCCCAAGATTAGTTAATTCTAACATTATTAAGGCACTTAAATGTTGAATGAACGCTTCATCATTGAGAAGATCAAAATGGGTCATCCGATAGAGTACTAAGAAGAATATTCTTTATATTTATGAAGCATACCACTCCAAAAAATATATAAATAGGTTCACACTCTTTGCGTGGAGGAGGCTTGGAACATTGGCTGAGAGGAAAGAGAACTATGGGATTTAAAGGATCCCAGAACTCTACCTAAACACCATCGCAATAATTCCTTGACACCATTGGACGTTCATTGGTCAATCAATGTTGGACATCGACCCAACCATCCTTGTCAGACCTCATCCGATTAGAGTCATCGAAACCCTACCCAACCATTACTGACTAGTCTCCATCCAACCATCATCATCAGGTCACCACTAGACCTTCGTCGCCAACCAACTACGGTCATTTGACTACCATCGCTCAACTACAATTCTCAGACATCTGTCGCCCAACAATTATGGTTCCTAGACCACCATTGCTTAGCTACGATCACTCCAATTATTGTTGTATGCCAACTATGATCCTCAAACTACCATTATTCGATTACGGTCCTCAAACCATTATCATATGCCAACTACACTCCTCGAACTACTATTTTTCGATTATGATCCTTATATCACCATCGCCGATTATAATCCCTTTGACATTGGTCACTTGATTATGATCCCTCTGAACTCAATCGTCTGACTACAACCCCTCAGACCTCAATGATTGACCAACGTCGCCCTACTATGATCTCTCTGACCTATGTCGCATATCTGCTACGATCCTCAAACCACTGTCGCTTGATTACAATCATCGAACTACCACCACCCCACTACAATCCTTAGACCACCGTCACCCACCGACTACGATCCTCAGATTGCCATTATCTGATTACCATTCTTCCGACTTCTGTCACCCACCAACTATGATCTCCAGACTATCATTGTCTGACAACGGTCCTTCTAACTTCCGTCACCAGACTAAAAGGTTTCCCTTGACCTCCATCTCCCATTGAATACAATTCTCAAAATACCGTCGTCGCATACCAACTATGATCCTCAGACTACCATCATGCGACTACGATCCTCAGACCACCGTCGCCCATTGACTGCATTCATCAAACTAATATTGTCCGACTATGATCCTTAGGCCACCATCGCAGACTACAATCCCTATGACCTTGATTGCTCGACTATGGTCCTTCTAAACTCAATTGGTAAATTAAGGCCCCTCCGCCTATTACTGCCCAACTATGGTGCCACTGACCAAGCAAATAGGTCTACAATCTCTTAAGAACAACCCTTATACCATTGGATTCTTCCAACTCCAACAATGTAACATGCTTTATAGATGTATATTTGATACATTGTGCCAACGCCTTCCCTTGAGGAAGGGCATTATTTGTAATCAAGGATGAACACAAGTGGAATCATTTCAACTAGGCGAGGCTTTGTAGTTTTTCCCCTTTTTAGAAAATTTCACATAAAATTTTTCGTGTCTCTTATGACTCTTGCATCCCTCTCTCTTATCTATATATGTGATAGATCTTCATACAAAATTATGACGTTGAACTCTCTATACTTCTCTACCACCACAAATGTTCTAGCATGGAATAGTTTGGCATTTTCGACGCGAAACACTTCACATTTTCGACATGGCTGTAGCGAGTTAATACATTTACCATGAACCATTATGAGTTCCAAAATAAATCCTTCAATATTGAGGGCAACCTAATTGACAACGGTGAACTAGTATTGTCATATCTCCTCTCAACTATTAGTCATTGTTGTATCAATTTCGAGGGAAAAAAATTTAGACTGGAGGAGCAATTTTGGCTGCAAACTCAAAGGGATATTTATGTTGAAATGCCAACTACAATTATGGTCAAGTAAGTCCCTCCAATATTTTATCAAAAAAGGGAAGAGAGCTCTAGGCCTTGAAGAATCCCAGAGTTCCACCCGAGCACCACCATAAGTGAACCCTCGCCACCACCTAAATTTCACCGATCAATTGTCATTGCTTAGTCCAGTTGCAGCCGTTAAATGGTTTGTGGACCAATGCCATTGAATCTATGTTTGTCCATCGTTGTAGGGTTTTTGCTTGCTTGTGGCCATTTACTTATGCCTGACCTTTGTCGTCATACCTCCACTAGACCCTTGATGTTGAACCTTTATTCAACCACCTCCACCAGGTCTCCGCCCAACTATAGTCACTTCAACCTCTGCAGCTCGCCAATTATGATCCTCAGACCACCATCTCCTACCTACTACGGTCCTTAAACTACAATTGTCTAACTACAGTCCCTAAACCTCAACCACCAACTATGATTTTTTAACCACTGTCTCGTGACTGTAAGGGTGTCACAACCTAACCCAATATGACCCACAAATATTACATGTAATATCATGTTGACTTATGACAGACTGAGCACAAGATCTAAATTTTAGAGACATTTTTCTAGATTTCTTTGAATTAAACTACAACAGAGAGTTTCTATTTAACTTCTAATAAGAGAAAAAAAAACTCATCCACAAATTCTTTTCATTTACATCAAAATGTATATATAACAATTATACATTATACTGCATGACTACAGACTAAAACAGAGCAATTAAATATTTAATCATGACTATACCAAAATTCAAAAAATACCACTCTGCCTAGTTTGACCACATCGAAAACACTATCTCATCATCTTATAACACTAATAAAAGTGTTTCCTACCATAGCTCTAGCATATATGTGCCCCACTAATATAAATTTCAAATCTAGCAATGTGGCCACCATTATGAACTGAAATCGACGATCCACCTCTATGAGAATCTATATATCAAAACATGTTTTTCTTCCCAGAAAATTGATTACCAAAAGCTTAGCTACCAAACCTCTTCCTACTAGCAGCCCATTACTTTTCAGTGGCTAGCAGATTATCCTTAATCAGATGAGCCCTCTTTACCAACTCAGAGAAATATGTAATGTGAAATGAAACTAGTGGTTGTAGTAGACTATCTCGTAGCCCCCTCATAAGCCTGTAATACTTCTTGAAAGTGCTAACCAACTGTAGAGCATACCTGATTAAGGCAATGAACTCTCTCTAATACTATATAACTGTCTTGCTCCTTTGAACTAGTCTCAGAAAAATCTCATGTATTTGTGGTCGTGCAGACATAGATACAAACCATGCTAAAAAAAAAAATCTGTAAACACATCCCAACTGATCAAGAATGCCTCCCTTTGAACTTCTCCCTATACTGGTCTAACCACTAGCGCTCAGCCTCACCATCAAATAAAAATACAACAAATGTTATCTTCCTCTCAGGACACACTCACAAACATATGTAGAATACATGAATACCAAAATTTCAATGGATTAACTTTTACTATACATGATCAAAATAGGTGCAACTATGTACATATTCAATAGGTGTTACAGGTTTTCAGACCACCATTACTTATCAACTATGATCCTTGGACTACCATCGCCTGACTAAGATCCTTAGACTATCATCGCTGATAATGATCCATTTGGCCTCCATCATCAGTTGACTATGATCTTCAAACCAACATCACATATCTAGTACATATCTCGAATTACCATCGTTTGACTACGATCATTGGACCTCAGTTACTTGAATATGACCTCTCAAACCTTAGTCGCACAATAATGATCCATCAGACCAATGTAGCCAGACTATAATCCCTCTGACTAGCTTTGCCCAACTATAGTCCCTCCAACCTCGGTTGCCTAACTACGATCCCTCAAATCACCGTCATCCAACTATAATTCCCCTGACCTTTGACGCCTTTCGACTACGATCCTCAGACTACCGTCGTTCGATTACAATTCTCAAACCATCGTCCATCGACTGCAGTCCCGAACTAACATCACCCGACTATAATCCTAATACCACCATTACCCACCAAATATAGTCCTCAGACCACCGTTACCCACCAACTACAATGCTCGAACTACTATTGTATGACTACAATCCATCTGACCTTCATCGCGCGAGTCAGTCCTCAGACCATCATCGCCTGTCGATTATGGTCCTCAAACTACCATCGCTCAACTATGATCCTTAAGCCACCATTGTCCATTGACTACTCATTAGACTACCATTATATGAATATTATTCTTAAACCACTATGGTAACTACAATCCCTCGGGGCTCAATCGCTCGACAATGGTCCCTTCGACCAATGATGCTCTATGATCCTTCTGACCAACATCACCCAACTATCATCCCTCCGACCTCCGTCACAGGACTACAATTCCTCTGATCTTCGTCGCCCTACTACGACCCCATTTAAAACCATCGTCCGACTACAATCCCTCCTACCTACATTGCTCGACTACGTTCCCTCCAACCATCATCGTCGATTACAATTTTCTTTGACCTCTGTCGCATGACTACAGTCCCTCTGACCTCCATTATTCGATTAAAGTCCCTTCAACCACCATTGCCTGATTATAGTCCCACCGACAAAAAAAGCATAGTTATGATCTCTTAAGAACAACTGTTATCCCACCATCACAGGACTACAATTGTTATATATTTGATTCATTGTTCAAACTCATTTCTCCCGGGGTCTTATTTGTAATCAACGAGGAACACTAGTAAAATCATTTCAACTTGACGAGGCCCCATATTCACTTTTTTAAAAATTTCCATGTAAAAATTTCATTCTCTCTTATGACTTGCACCCATCTATTTTATGTATATGTACTTAATCTCCGTACAAAACTAGAAAATTAAACTATCCCTACCGTCACAAATGTTTCAGCATGCAACAAGGATAGTTTTTATTTAAATAATTATTATAATAAAATAATAATAAATAAAAAAATCAATTATATATACAAATTTTAAATATTTTTAATAATTCATTCCAATATAATTAAGCTATTTTTTATCAAAATTGTTTAAAAAAATTCAAGAAATAAGCTGAGGAGTTTAGCCAAGAATAACTGAAAATTTATTTCATAGAATAACACTAGATGTTAGTGTAGTCTGGGATTTTTTTTTTCAAATATATTTAAAATACATTAAATTATTTAATTAATAGTAAAATAAAATATGCATAAAACTGTAAAATACCTAAGAGATGACCGCAAGCGGTTATCGTCAAAGATTAGCCGCGGAGGACGCTTTGGCACACGGCGAGCAGCCTGCAAATGCGAGGGACAGAGGCCTTTGTCACAGCCATAAAGCAGTCTCTGGAATAAGAAGCTGATCTTTGCATAGACATTGCAAAAAATTCCAGGTTTGGAGAAGTAAAGAAATAGTGAGGATCTATAAATGATATTTATTAATTTAGAGAAATCATATCATAAATTTTCAATCATGCATGCAAATATGGCTATGGGACTTCAAAATTTAGATTCAGGCTTTGTTTGTGATAACTTTTTTATTGCTTTTTAAAACAAATTTATAATACAAAGATTTCTAATTTCAAAAATTTCTATACTAAAAAACTGCTTCATAAAGTAGTAAGAAAGCTGTCTCAAGCAAAGCCTCAAACTCTTTCAAATTATTACTAAATTTTGCAATTATAGTAGACTTAAAAAGACCTGTTTAGAAAGTACTAAAAATGGCATTTTTTATTAAATTTAAATAAAAATTCAACTATTAACCAAACAATGAAGAAAAAAGATTGATATTGTCAATCCCACGTAATGGTATAAAGGTTTGATATTGTTGTAGTACTGAATTTTGCATCAAAACTAAACTTCAATGGAAATTATAGATGTATCACTAATATTTATGATAAAAAAAATGAAAATACTGTGCCAAAATTGTCAACTACAAAATCTGATCAACAAATAAGAACCATAAACTATTTCAGAACAATTTAGAATCACAATTCATAAATTTGATCCCAAGAAAAAGATAACTGGTTTTTACAACAGAGTAGGTGAAATCCTAAACTATCAATAAAGGCATCACTGCCTGATTCAATTTCAGAAACTCTATTGACCGAAATCTATCCACTCCTTATCTAACTCCATGATCAGAAAGTGATATTGAAGCTAACCAAAAGATTTTCATTTGAAGAATGCATCAACACAATATCAGTAGAAATTAAATGAGCCTTCAAGGGGAAAAAAAAATGTCACTGGATAGACAACAGCACCTGAATTCCTCAGCTGAAAAGTGATTTGAATTGAACAATCACAAAGGCACTTTGAGTCTTTGATGATGATCGATGGCTTCCCAGTACGGAACAAATCTAACCAAATCTGAAGTGAAGAAAAACTAGAATGGCATTCGGCCTGCAAGTCTGCTTTCAGAAATCCTCCTATCAATGGCGGCATTAACCGAGTTCATCTGGGAAAAATATGACAATAACGGGATCAGATAAGAACTGAAACCAGATCTTGGTTCAGTAAGAGTGAATTTAAGAGAAGAATTCATCAATTTAAGCAGGGGATATAGCAAAACTTGCTGGCTGAATGAAAGCTGACCTGTAAAAAGCCTGGTCGCACACTGATCAAAAACAGATAACAAAGAAAAGATACCTAAGGATTGGCAAAAGCCTGACAAAAATAAAAACCTTCTTCCAACCAGATCCCCTTGCTTGTTAAGAAGCAATGAAATCTAAATAAGTAAATTACATACAGATTTTCAAATGGAGAAATGGTGGTATAGAGTGAGAGAATCCTCCGGTGAAATGCAACACAAGCTTCGTTAGATTTGTGGAGTTAAAAAGCTAGCAGTAGCATCATGGGTGGATGATTGTTAAACAGATGCACATAAGAGCAATTGACCATTTTCACTAACCTCATGCTGGATATAGATCCGTATGTCATGTCGTACACTCATAATGTAAATAAGCATTTATTTCTGTGTCTATGAAGCACGGACACGAACACAACATGGCCACAGCGGTGCAAAAGCACTGTAAAAAGTAGCACATGACATGCCATTGCCACAATGATATATTTTTTGAATTATTGATAAAAAATATTTGATTTATATTATTTTACATATACTTCACCCAAAAAACAAGTTTAGTGATATCAAAAGAAAAACAAAAATTATAAAGAATAAAATAAATATTTCATTGCATGTGATGATTATCATTTGTTACAAACTCCAACATCAACATTCATTAATTATTATGAGTTGTCACATATTTTGTGGGTGCATTCATATCTCATGAATGGGCCATCTGTCAAGCATGTGGCCTTACTGTGTGTTAAGCTCTCTCTAACTTGTGTCATTAACATATTTTTGTCTTTAAACACTTTTAACACATTTTTAAGCATGCGGGGCGTATCGGAGGCATGTCTATGTCCACCACAAACACAAGGTATTTGAAAGTGTCCGTGCTTCCTAGCACTATGGTATCATGGATGATCTCATCAATACATATCTTTGAAAAACTTGTGAGAAAAAACCTGGAGATAGCTTTGTTTTTCCTATCCATCATTTGGATCTGCCGACCAACAAGCAAATCCATTTCAATGAATACAAGGGTGAATTAAAAACTTACCTGGCTAGTTTCATCATGAACCTGATACTTCCCCATCGACATTCTTCTTTCCTCCTGCATAACAAAAGCATGTCGTGAGATGAGGAACTGGGTGAGTCGAACAAGCAAAATTGGAAAGAAGAAAATACTACAAGCTTGCAAGCCTAACCATGGACATAGCCTCGTCATCCCAAACCAAGTACACTTCATTGATAGCTGGTTGAGGAACAGGAGCTTTGTTGGATATCACAGGAGGAGGACCAATAGAAGGTCCGCTTGTATTTGGACCAGATGCATACATATGAGAGCTGGTATAAGAAGTCCCGCCACCTAACAAAAGAAAAGAATGGTTCATAACAGATAGATAGTGGTTTAGGACCGCACAAAAAACTTGTAGAACATATCAAGCATAAATGATCCAACAGATAGATAAAAAGCCACCAAGCACCTTCATAAGCCTACAATAAACAACAGATAGATCATAAATGATCCAAAGAAAATTTGACTTTAAAATGGCACAAACTCCCAAAATATAAACGGCTACCCGAATACGAAGCTCTGCAATCTGCTTGAACAAGGCATATTCCACATTCCACGTCATAAAATCAGTTAAATGGCAAATATAACGTTGATATAATTGATCGCTCAAGAATGGAATAAACCAATTTTGGCACCTCATTTAAAATAATTCATAAAACTATCGGTAGAATACAATATGCTTAGTTCATATGGATTTGCTTTTGCGTTCATACTATACTAGTTACATGGAGGCTTTTTTAAGATATCTGAAATGGATAAAATTTTGAAACATCTCCGCACTTAGCTTCCAGCAGTAAACAAACCATAACTAATGGTATGCTAACCATACACAGAATTACGTTCCTCAAAAAGCAAATATGGGTGCTTCTACCGGGAATGTTCTACTTAAAAAGGACTAAGCCTCACAATATGTTCAAATTTTCCCACTCATGTGGTGGTCTGGTTACTATGCCTGCATGGCCTAGAATTTTCAAAATATGAACGTTATTTGGCAGGGATAACCATCTAAAAGTGCCACAATGACCTGTTAGTTTCCAAGCATAGTGGAACCATCAACATTGTTCTTAGATCAACAAAAACATTAGTTTAGAGTCCACAGCCTTAGTTTGCTGAATGGACGGTAAACTTCTCGTAACACCAGCGCTTATTACAATATCGTCAGATCAAAGTCTCTTTTGTCAATACGGGTAATATGGGTGGAATAAGCTATTTCACTGAATGAGAGTAATTAGCTATTTTCTAAATAAGAGAGATCTTAATAAGCAATTGGAGGACAGAAGAAAAAAAACCAACATTTGAAACCTTTCTAGTAAGAAATCATGCAACATCATGCTAAATAGGTTAGCTTATAAGCATGGTTTTAAAAACTGGATATGACCAGCCGATTCAACAAGTTGAGCCGGTCGGCCGGCAAGTTCGGTTTCAATACAAACCCAAGCTCATAGAAAACTGGCCAAAAAACCAATCTGACCGACGAACCGGAGCCGGTTATAAAAAACTGTCCAGTTCAATTGGAATAAAATACGAGCCATCCGATTTACATCAAGCAGTGTAGGAGAAAATTGTAGGAAAGAAAAAAATATAATATTCCTATTCGACGCTATTACAATCCCATTATGTCTGTTCGACCTTCTGTTGAATAGGTTTCAGCGTTTCACCCTTCCGACCTTCCATTCCATTCGCCTTGGCATCCCTCTTCGTTGGCGAACTTGACCGTGATGAAGTTTGAAGTATCTTCTCAACGCAAGCATTATTTCTCTCCAACTTTACAAGCAAGCAAATAAACTGAGGGATGTAAGTTCTTTAGAAATCTATATTTTTTTAGGTTTTGTTTTGATTTTTTAATTTTTTAATGTTTGAATTTGTGATCTCTGTTGGGTTAAGAAAAATAAAAAAAACAAAATAAATTAAAATTAGTTTAATTTTCAAATTTATGTTCATAGCTATTTTCTTTGAGTTTGTGCCGCGTCATGCTTATTTCTTCTACAAACAGGAAGATGTTAGACATAGGGTCAAGTGATGTAAAATTTCAGCTCTACGAATTGCTGCTGCACATCGAACTGAGGTGTGCATTCCTCCCCCCATGCATTGTAGTAATAACAAATTAGTTGATTTGGCCATCCTGTGCCGGAGCCAAGAGTTGCAGGATAGCTGAACCACCTCGTGCGGGAACCTGGAGCCGCAAGGTGTGTCGTTTAGGTTTGGTGATTGTAAATCGTGTTTAAGTTTATTTGTGAAAGCAAATTTATTTTTAATATTCTTAAATATATCTATCGTGCTTACTTAGAGAATATTTTGGAAAATATTGCGTATTGCTGAAATTGACATTCAGATTTGTTGAATTTGGATTTTGTATATGCAAAAATTGCATTTGTGTTTTGCTAAAATCAATCAAATGTGCTGAAATTAATTTTAATATTTGCTATAACCAATGTTAGATTATCATATTATCATGTTAATTTTATTAATTTTTAATAATATTCTTTATTACGTCATCTGGTTCGACCCCAGTTCAACTGGTCGAATTAGTTGAATGGTGAACCCTCTCCTTCTTCCGGTTTGTTGTCTAATCTAGTTTTCACAACCTTGCTTATAAGTGATTTGACTAAAGTTCCACATGATATAAAAAAGGACAGCCTACTAAAGTATTCTCCATGAATTGAAGTTCCACATGAACTAAAACCATTACTTTAATGCAATGTTTTTGGAATAAGTCTAATAAAGAACATATTTTTCCTAAATATGAGAATTGAGAACTATTCCATTGGAAATAAAAAAAATAAATGTATATTAAAGTACCTTACTTTGACTATCCATTGTAGACATTCCTATAACCAATTCAAAAGGATACAAAATGATGCATTCATGTTTTCAGTTTGTTTTGTTTTGATGTAATTTGAACAATATTTAGTTGCGTTTTGTATTTTTTTTAAGCTATCCAATGATGGAGAACATCGAATGATCATGGTAGGATGTGCTTGAGCATGGCAAGGCTTGGGTTTGCTAGCATTTTGGGTCCTTTTGTTCTTTGGGCTGCTTGCTGTTTCTCAGATTAGGGCCATTACTGCTCTCGGGTTGGGCTTTGGCTGCTCTCGTTGTGAGCTGAAATATTGAGAACTTCTTAGTGCTAGCTCATTAATGCTTGAGCTGAAGTTTAGCTCATTATTTGGAGGAGTAATTGCACTTCCTAGCTCATAAATTTGAAAAGGTATGTGAAGCGGATCTTGTTTTTTCCCCTTCTTGTGTCTCTTCAGTTCTTTCTTTGTGTCGTTCCCGTGAAACCCGTTGGTTGCTTGTGTGGGCTCTTCGATTTCTCCCCCTGGCTGCTTTCTTGTGGCTTCTCACGTCCGTTTTCTATACTGGCTCTTCGGGTCCCTCTCTGGCTGTGTTCCCATGGCTTCTTTTACCCGTATCCTGTGCTATTTTTTGGGAGCTGCTTGTGGTGTCTTTTGCCCTTCTTCTTCCCCTTACCTGATTGGTTTGGTTGGAGATTGATGTTGGCTGTTTGGCTCCCCTTTTTGCCTATATATATGAGAGGACTTTGTCATGGAAAGGTTGTTGATTAACTTGAAAGAAGTTGCTAAAGACCTGAGGGTTTCTTCTCTTGGAAAGGCTTGAGAGCTTGTTCCACCCCCTTCCTCCTCTCTGTTTCGTCTTGGCTTCTAACCTTTTCTTCCCTACGCAAGTTCCACTCTACTTGTATCCTTCTTCTTGAGCATTTAGAAGCTGTTTGTTGGCTGATTTTGGGAGACATTTGCCGGAGGAGTTTGGTAGGACGTTGGATCCTTTTGCTGTTGTGGACCCTCGGTTTGCAAACCTAAGCACTTTATCATATTTTTTCCTACTTCTCGTTGCATGTGAGGAAACCGCTTGCCGGTTGTTCTGAGGATAGTATTTTTATGTTATAATTTTGTTTCGTTTGATTTGACTCTTCGTTTATCTGGGTGTTTGTTTGGATGCTTACAAGTTAAATTGAATCGAGTTTGGTTTTCATTGTCCTTGTGTTCTCCAACTTGGCTTTTCTTTCTAGTTTGCTTGCATCACAAAATTAAAGTTGAACCCTAATATAAATCTACCATGATTACGATGTTAGCAATTATTTTTTATCACTAAAAGGAAAGTTAGAAGTTTTAAAAAAAATCATTAGCAAATGAACTATATATATAATTTGTTTGAACTCAAATTAAACTTGAATAATGCATATATTTTGATAACTTTGAACACAATTTATATTAAACATGAGATAAATCATCTAACACAATTTGTTACTGTTTAAATTAAATTACAATTGAATAATTTGAACTCAACTCAAGTTTAACTCTACTTTTTTTTTTGAAATATTGGTTGCCACCATTAACAACATAAGAGCCATTAAATTATATATATATATATATTAAAAGTTATGTTAAATATGAAATTACGACTTTCATATTTTTTTTAATCTGACTAAATAAATAAATTATTTTTTAACTTAAACAAAAAATGTGTACTAATGATTAATGAAAAAAGAGGCATCATGGTTATTATTATTCATTTAATAATTCTATAGTTATCTAATTCAACGAGCATTAGCTTTTTATTCCAGTCACTATTTTCAAATCTTGTGTCATCTTATAATAAGCTGCCATACATCATCTTCTTATTAAAAATATAGATATAATCTGTCATATACATTTATTTCAGACATTAAGAAGAATTTTATATTATATAATATAATTTATTAACAAAGAGCTAATAATTTTAGTGTATAATTTAATAAAATAGCAATCAAAGAAGACTTTTGGTGGCAGCTTCGAAAAAACAAATGGAGTTTAAAAAAAAAAACAGTGTCCAAACAACCCAAAGTATATTTTCTATCATAATATCTTCAAGAGATATCTTACCATTTCACAAATATAATAAATTCTCAATTTATTATTCCTAATTTTGCCACAAATTTATCTTAAATTCTCTTTCATGCACACTCGATAAATCTATTAATGACTTCTTTACAATGCATGCTTGGAACCATCAAACACAGATTATCTAATTGTTCTTATATAAAACTTACCTATAGGCGTACATAATGCTCTTTTATTGCATTATATCCTTCTTAAGGCACTTCATTTTAACCCCTTAATATTAATCTCAAAAGTTATACCCACATGCATATCCCTATCCAACTATATATTAAATCCACAATATTCAACTCAAAAATATATACATATATTATATTCTTATAATATTAAGTAATAATTAGTAATATCAAACCCATTAAAATATGTATCATATGCTCATTTTTATAACCGATT